TTCTATCCTGCGCCATCCCCACACTTCCTGACACACACGAGTCCATAGAAACAGTCACAGCATCAATCCACCTGCTTGAGGATCTTCTCCTTAGCCAATTCTCCACCCTTCCCAGTATCATATCCTTCTCCAAGGAATAGCAGCTCCTAGCAATATGCCCAAAGCATGTGAGGCTAAGCCTCATCATTCTTGCTGTCAAAGAGCACTCAGGCTGCACTCTCTCCAACACATATCTGTTTGTTCCCTTGGCCATCTATGGGATGTTCAGTGCTCTTCTCCAACACCACAGCTCAAAGGCATTGATCCATTTTTGTAATCCTTATTCACTGTCCAACTTTTAAGACGCATAGCATGTGATCTGAAAGGTTATGGCCTGAATCTGATGCACCTTAGTCCTCAAACCGACATCATTACTCCTCAATAATTTAGAGAGGTCCCTAACTGTAGATTTTTCCAGTGCAATGCATCTCCTTATTCCTGACTGCTGGTACCACGGGTGTTAACTGTGGATCAAAGCAAGATGAACCTGTTGACAGTTTCAATCTCCTCTCCATCCATTATGATGCTGCCTATCATTTCAGTGGTAAGAATCTTTGTTTTCTTGACATTGAGATGTAGTAAATACCGAAGGCTGCACTCCTTGAACAAGTGTTTCAAGACCTCTTCACTTTCAGCAAGCAAGATGTGTCTCTGCATAATGAAGATTATTGATGAGTCTCATTCCAATCCTGATCCCACACTCCTCTTCAGAGTCTAGCTTCTCGAATAATTTGCTCAGCAAACAGAATGAATAGGTATGGAGAGATAATACAACCCTGACACACTCCTTTCTCAGTTTTAAACCATGCAATGTTCCCCTGTTGTGTTCCACATGAGCACAATTAAGTGCTCTGAGAATTCCTATTCTTCTCAATGTCAGCCACAGCTTGTTCTGACCCACACAGTCAAACCCCTTTGCATAGTCAATAAAGCACAAATAGACTTTCTTTTGGTATCCCTTTACCTTTTTTTCCCTTTTTTTCTTTTGGTGGCCTTTGTATTTAAAAGTAGGTTAGGTCCTGCCTGAGAATGAGTTTCCAGCTTGGAGCAGTTGGATTCTAGAGGGTAAGGTGTTTTGATTTACTTGAAAGTGGGTGTAAACTGTTTGGTCCTTTTTTATTTTGTCAACAAACAAGTGTAAACTGATTGGTATTAATTATGTTTTGGTGAACATTGTTCTGGGTGGTACAGCACTTGGCCTGTCAGTTTGCTGTACTGAGATAACCTGGGGTTGCTGTGATACTGAAAGCTGTGCCATTGGTGTGTGCCATAAGGGTTACCCACGGTGGACAGATGATTTTATGTATATGAATTCTACTTAATATAATTTTTTTAAAAAGAGTAATAACAACAAATGTTGACAAAAGTGTGGAGAATCTGGAGCCCTCTTAATATCGTTGGTGGGAATGCAAAATCATGTAATCATGGTAAAAAACAGGCTAGGGGTTCCTCAGAAATTGACAAACAGGTTCCCAGTACCGCTCACACTCACTGCCGTTGAGCTGGTTCTGACTCAGTGACCTCTCCTCACACTGGGTTTCTGAGGATGTAAATCTTTACTGGAGGTGACTGGCCATCTTTCTTTTTTTCTGGAGCAACTAGAGAATCTGAATTGCTGATGTTTCAGTTGGCAGCTAAACACAATATGCCACTAGGGCTCCTTAAAGCTATCATTCTGTTGTTACGTATTGCTGAGTTGGAAAAGACTCATAGCTGATGCTCCAGTGGGTTCCTGAGGCAGTAAACTGCACAGGACAAGACTGCCCAGCTGGTGGATTGAAACCACATGCCTTTGTGTTAGCAGTGCAACACCTTACCACCAAGCCAGCAAAGTTTCCTTGGCTGCTGCTGTTCTTAAGTGCTGTTTAATAGAGTACAACTAACAGTGACCCTATGAACAATAAATCTGAATCCTGTCCTATCCTGTACCATGCTTATCATAGCTGATATACTTGATCCTATTGCTGCAATCACTGTGTCAATTCACCTCATTGAGGGTCTTCCTCTCTTTAGCTGACCCTCCACCTTTCCAAGCATGATGTCCTTTTCCAAGGAATAGCCTCACCTAACCTTCATCTCACATATTTTGTGTATGTTATTAGGAGAGGCTAGAGCTACCATAGTTGTTATGCGCTGTTGAGTTGCTTGAAACTCATAGCAACTCAATGTACAATAGCTCTGAAAATGGCTCTATTTTGAGCCAATATCATTGTCTCTGACACACCTACCCCCATTATTCCAGTTACTGAGTTGATCTCTCTCATCCAGAGTTTTTCTCTCCTGTGCTGTCCCTCCACTCTTCTAAGCATGATGTCATTCTCCAGAGACTGGTCACTCCTAAAAACATGCCCAAGAAGTATGTAAGACACTTTCAAAATCCTTGCCTCTGAGGAGCAACTTGGTTTCACCCTCTTGCGGACAGACCTGTTTGGTTTCTTGGCAGTCCATGGTACGTATGTTGAGTACTTTTCACCAGCACCACAACTCACAAGGCATCAATTCTTCTTCTATTATCCTTAGTCACTGTCCAGCTCTCTGGACAATAGCAAGGAATCGTGAAAACCATGGCTTGGGTCAGACACTCCTTAGTTTCTAAACTGCCATCATTGCTCTTTAGTACTCTACAGAGGTCCCTGACAGCAGATTTTTCCCAATGCAACTCATCTTTTAATTTCTGCTGGTGCCCAGAGTGTTGACTGTGGAATTAAGCAAGTTAAAATTATTAAAATCGTAATCTCCTCTCTGTCTATCATGCTGCTGCCCCGTGTTGAGAATCTTTGAATGTTGAGCTGCGAATCCATATGAAGATCTACCATAAACCCAGCAATTCTGCTCAGTCTCACGGACCAGTACTGCATCTACCACCCGAAATCTAAATGATAACTCCTCTATTTTCTCCACAATTTCTATTCCTGCCTTTTAACATTGTATGTACCCTTGTCTCTATATCTCAAACAGCTACTTCTTAAGTTTTTTGAGTAGTTTCCTATTCTGAACTAGATCAATGGATGAGTTTCCAGAATGTTCCCTGATCTGTCCTGCTCCTCAGCTTTCAGAGCGCAGCTTGATGATACTCAACATCTGCCTTCATCTCAAATTTTTCCCTTCATCTCAAGTCTTGCTTCTGAGCTCCAGACCTAACTGTCAGAGAGACATCTTCCAGCAACTCATCTAATTACCTATATAGATTCTTGTTGCTGTTGTTGTTAACTGCAGTCAAGTCGTAGGCGACTCATAGCGACCCTATGAACCAAAGTCCTGGACACCTGTATAACTTTCATCCTTTCTCCAGGTTCATAGGGTTTCCAGAGACAAGCTATTATGGAAGTGGATGCCACTCCTGCTTCCAAGCTTGTTTTAA